TGTAATGATTCTGCTTTAACTTATTTATCTCCAAGGGCGGTAAACCCACTATGCCTGGGCCCCTTTTTAGTACTTAAATCTAGAAATGATGAAAAGTCACTAACTAAATTGGCCATTAAATCAAAACAAGTGAACCTATTTTGATAGTTCTTTATCTAATGAATGAAATCCTGATAAAAGAGACAATTGTCGAAAAGTAATTTGATGTCGACCTCGCAAAGGCATGTGCCCGAGCCACTGTCAGTGGCTCACCAGCATAGCGGTTCCAACCGCGAGCCCCTGGGAGCGGCTTGCCGGAGGTACAGAGTTTACTTTCTTATACAAATTTTAATAGGTTTAAGGGTTTGCTCAAGACTCATTTGTTGAATTGTTAATTATAGTGTGTTTATAAGTTCTGACTTTTTAATGTACGTGTATATATACATATTTTATTTTATATATATATATATATATATATATATAAACATGTATATGTCCTTTTTGTGTAGTATAGTTAAAGTTGTGAAAGTTTTTCTTTATGTGGTTGAACTGGTTTTTCTTGTTCTGTGAAATATTTTTTCTTGTGTGAATGATTATGTGATTGGTGTAAAGTGCTTAGAGCTTACTAGTATGGGACAGAGCGCTATATATATGCAATCTATTATTATTATTATTATAACTTTAAAAAAAATTCAAAGTGGGTGGTTGGTGGGTGCTCTGGTGTGGTTTGCCCCTTCTTTCCTATAAAAAATCTGTCGTCCTTATCTCCCCTTCTTCTTTTTTATGTTTGTTGCTCTCTTGTAACACCTCTAATCTTCTGGCGCTCATATGACCGTATGCAGTTGCTAGTGCCGTAAAACCTTCACTAAAAAGAATTTCAACGCTTATGGAATGTGGAGGTTGATGGCTCTCTCCCCAGGTTTGATCTGTTTGGCATCTACGTGGTGATGTTCTTGGAGATCATGAAGACGCTGGTCCACGTGGTGTTCGTCTTCTCCTTTCTCAACATCGCGTTTGGCCTGGCCTTCTATGTGCTCCTCTCAGGGGAGGTAAGCCTTTAACCCTATCCGTCCGTCGTGCTTTACTGTCGTGTCCATATGACGTGGGGAACTCTGTGCCACCTCTTTCCAAAGAGAAAATTTACTCGTTAACTCACTTGTGACTGGGCCCTTTCACCAGTCACAAGCGTTGAAGACTGGCGTTTTTGGGGGTATTTCAATAAATCACCACAACTCTCAGAATTACCCTATTGTAATCATTTTTTGACACAGTAAAGTAACATTCAAGCTTAATCTAATACAAAAAACTAAAGTTGTCTAAGTCTAATACTTTAATTTGTATGATTTTTTAAAAATTGGCATGAATTTGATTTTCCGAAAAATTTCCAGAGACGTGACAAGTAGAATGAAATTCACTGCAACAACAAAAATAAAAGTCAAAGTGTTCTGGTTTGATTTGTATACATGTGCGAGTGTTTGGTGAAAATATAAAAGCTGGTCTGTGCTTTGATTCAGACCCATACACTGAATTACATGAGGCAGATGTACGGCACGTCGTTGTGATTTCGTTGCGCGAAAAACAACACCGGTACTAGTGCTAGATCTAGCCCTAGAACTACGACTCGGGCCGTGTTCGGGTACATATCCAGGATCCTAACTTTTAGACACATCATATTCTGAGACACTAGAACTAGTAAAACGCACAGAAGTATAGAAAACGGCGAAATTCTGTGATTCCTGTTCATGCGACTTCTTCGACCGTTACTACGACGCGACTGTCGGATTACTATCAGCTGTATAGAAAAAAACAAAGCGCGAGTTCTGGTCTGTTCAACCCCAGTTGGGGTCACTGTCCTTCACCTTCAATAACTTAAAAACTACCGACCCCAGAGATACGAAACGAAGTCTAAGTAGCTCAGGCATGGCCAAACAAGGGTACGAGGCGGGTCTCGCGATCCGTGCGTGATTTGAAGAGCGAAAAAAAAATTCCAAAGTTGGTCACGCAGGGCTTGTGAGACCCGTCGCGAGCGTCTCGGCAGGGGTCACGCAACTGTCGTGTGACCTGTCTGAAGTGAGTTAATCTGATCCGTACGCTATGCATAGCAGTCTGTCAAAAGGATTTTTTTAGAAATGCTGAAAGTCTCAAAGAGATCTTCGTACTAAAAATATTCTAAAATGTGAAGAATACAACCGCGGGAATACAAAATGACCCCAGGGCGTATGGATAGGGTTAATGTATCACCAATTATGTATTAGTGTGTAGTATACTAACGTATAAGTAAGTGCCTTGATCCTCCAGGGAGTGAGTGCTGTGGAAGTGATCTTTATTATTATTATTATTACATGTATATTTATCCTTCTTCTTATTGTTATTGTTATTATTTTTATTATAATAAATTATTATTTTTGTTATTATTATCATTATTATTATCATAATATGTTATTATTATTATTATTATCATTATTTTTTAAAATTATTATTATTATCATTATCATTGAATTCAAAATCCGTAATTAATTTTGCCTAGTCTTCTTTTCAGGCATATAGCCTATAATAAACCTGAATGGGCAATTATTGCTTGCGCTTGTATTGTCCTCGTCTTCTCACATAATCTGTCAAATTTTTCCCATCAGAAAAACGAAGCCCACAGCAGTCCGTCCATGTCGGTGTACAGGACCCTAATCCTCCTCCTAGAGATTGACTTCATCAACACCTTCAACCGCCAGTACCATGACACCAGCTCGCATTCTCTGCACTTTGACCGCCTGACCTATTTCTTCCTGGCAGTCTTTATCTTCCTGATGCCCATACTTTTGATCAACTTGCTGGTGAGCTGTGCCTGAAGATAGGGGTTACAGTTAGTAAACCAGTTGTTGTTGTTGTATTATTATGGCTTTATTGAGAGATATTCTTTTTTTCTTTCTCCAGAAACTTCTCTCTCTCTTTGTGTCTGTCTCTCTGTCTCTCTCTGTCTTTCTTTCTCTCTCTCTTTCTCCCCCCCCCCCCTTCCCGCACTCACACATACACACCCACCCCCCCTTTCGTCTTGGATTCTTTTTGTCTCCGTGTCTCTATCTGTATTCTATCTCTCACTTTTTCTGTTGCTCACTCATACACACGTAGAACACGCATGCACACACACACACACACACACACACACTCACTCACACACACATACACACGCTCGCACGCACGCTCACACACATACACACAAACTCACACACATACACACACACACACTCACTCGGGGCCAAAAATAAAAATGCCCAACGGCCAGAAAAATGCTGGTTTCCTTGATTCCTCTTTGTTGACAAGCGCCTGATTCACCCGCTGCCTCACATTTTAGGGGGGCGTTTTCTTCCCACCCAATAAATGATTTCATGTATATTGTGCATACCCCTGCACAAATGAAGTTCCTCCTCACCCCTTTGTAGCTTACAGACTTTGATGTGGAGTTAATTTCTAATTAACCCTTCCAGCCCCTGCCATTTTTCTGCACTCCCTAACTCCAGTCCCAGGTAAATACAGGGGGACAGCGTACCTAACTCCCAGCCAATACAACAGTATTTAGGAGAAAGAGAAATGCATTCTAAAAAGTGAATGGGTGTCTTTGTTATGAGGTTTAGATAGTAACATATAAAAATGTTTAAAAGTAAATGAGCAAAGATTATGAAAATGAAAGTTTAATTAGGTTCGCTGCCATGTTGTACAAATGTGCAAATTTGGTACTGCTCGAAACTGATAATATGGGCTCTTGAGACGGCGGGAGGTAAAAGGGCTGCTGAAAATATATGCGGCTGGGGCTGGAAGGGTTAAAATACTGTTTAAGAATCAATGTAGCCAATGTTTTTTTATTTTGTTTTGTTTAGATCGGTTTGGCGGTGGGTGACATTGAGTCTGTTCAGAGAGGAGCCCGACTGAAGCGCCTGGCCACACAGGTGAGTCGGTTGTGTCTGTTCTCCCCCCACCCCCCAGGGCAGTGCTACTGACTAAAGTGTCTTTAGGCCATTCCCAAAGGCGTGATATTAACATGTGCTTTTGCACAGTAAAATTTTTAATGAGCTGATTTATCAATTGCATGCTCATACCGTGCCGAAACAACATAAGGGGGAACTGCTGTTTTTTCATTCCTCATCCTTACTATCGTCATTTTTTCCTCTACTTCTATTGTATGTTTGTCTCTCTCTCTCTGCTATTTCCGGGGTGCCTTGTTAGTCGAAGCAGACTTTGTGCTGTTGAGGCTAGAGAGGTGAGCAGAGGGAGCCTGATTCCCCATTTGGACTTCTCTTTTGACATCCACCCCTTGGCGCTCATATGACCTTATGCAGTTGCGAGCGCAGTAAGACCTTACTAAAACTAAAACTATCATACGCTGTAGCTTGAGGCGTTAGAATGTGTTTGTTGAGTATCAGAATATTTCTGCATTTTCCGAGTGGCAGGTCGTCATGTTTTCAGTGTGTCTGTTTATGATGTTTTCAAATGTGAAATTAAATCGTTGCAGATGAGCGTTCTGGTCATTCATCAAATCTTGAAGATGTACAGTTTTGAGCACACGATGTGGGGGGTTGGCGGGTGCTCTGCTGTGATTTGCTCCTTCTTTCCTATCGAACATCTGTCATCCCTAATCTCTCCTCATTGTTTATTTGTTTATTACTGTCTTGTAACAACTTTTACTTTTCGGCACTCGTATGACCTTATTGTGTTGCAAGTGCTGTAAAACTCTCACTAAAACTAAGCTAAGAGTGTCTGTTTGTTATGTTTTCGCTTTTGCTATTTTTGACAAAATTATTTTAATTCGTTCTTTTACTCATTTTAACTCATTTTTGATTCTCTTGACACCAGGTCAAATTCCATGCTGAGATTGAGGACAGGTTCGGGTTTCTGGAGAAATTTTCTGATGCAGTGGTGGAAGTGAGGCGTGACAAGACGGATAGTGTTTTCAATGAGGTGGGAAAATATGTTGTTGGTTGAAAGATCTGAGGGAATATTTCGTTGGTCTAAAGATTTGATGAAATATTCATATTGTCTGGTTTGCTGCTTTGTGTGGCGCAAGTTATGTGAGGGTACTTTGCATATATTGTGTTTGTTTTTCTCAGGATGAATTATACATAGTACATGTAAGAGCATCTTGATTGGAGGTTTGAAGGTAGTTGTCAAGACACAGTGGAATCAGGCGCTCGTCAATTTTTGGGCATATGGTATCATCTTAAAGCTTGTTTATTTGCCCTGCTTTTGATGAAAAACATATCTGATAATCTTGAATAGAAGTCGAGATATTTGTGATTGAAAGAAACGGAGGTTGCCTGGTTTCAGAAGTAAAATTAACAAGAAAATGGCCGCCAAAGTTTGGTGACTTTCATAGCTTAAGAGTCCTCGGAAACTGCAAATTTAAATTAGCTGTGCCTTTTATCAACGTTTTTCCATAAAATCCACACATAAAGGTATTTTTGAATGTACATACAATGTGTTGAGCTGAAAAACAAAGTAAAAAAAAAAATTCTAAACTGACCGAAAATGTTGATTTCTCGGATTTCATTATCTTGACAAGCACCTGATTTCCTCACGATGCCTCACATATGACCAAGTTATTTTGTTGGTCTCAAGATTTGATCAGATGTTTCATTGGTTAAAAGATTTTTAGTAAATATTTCTGTTCTTTCTAAATTGCTTTTTCCATGCGCTGAATGACTCTTATTGTGTCAGTGGGCTACTCTCACCTCAAACTTAAGCAATCACGATAACATTTATTTTCATTTGTTTGCAATCTTTTCTAACGCTTCAAGTTCTACTCCAAGACCAATCCGACTAAACTGGATGGGAAGGAGCCTGTGACAGATGAGACTTCTTCCCTGGGACAAGAGCTGAAAATACAGAAGGCTATGTAAGTTATCTTATTACAGTCTGTGTATGTCTTTATACCTTTTGGTTTTGATCGAATATCTGTTGTGTAATTGTTACGCTCTTCAGTTGTAGAGCAGCAGTCACAGGAGGCAGCGAAATCAGATGAGGTTCTGCGAATTAGAAATGCTATTGCAAAGAGAGAAGCCAGCAATCTGCACATATCCACGAGTGGAAATGTTTAATTCTTCTCTGCCAAAAAAAGAATCACAAAAATATTTGGTTTTGAAGTAGCAGGGTGGGAAAATGGTTAGGTACTAGTGGCGCCGGTGGCCTAGTGGTTAGGCTCTCGGACTCGCAACCGTAAGGTCGTGGGTTCGAATCCCGTCAGGGGCCCGACGTTGTGTCCTTGGGAAAGGCACTTTACACGAATTTTCCTCACTTCACCCAGGTGGGAATGGGTACCCGGCTATAGACAGCGAAAGATCTTGTCAGTTTGTTAGTGTTTGAGCGCTTAATCGGCTGCTCGCGCTGTATGCTTCCCGGGAAGCTGAGAATGTTTCGGAGTGTTCTATGGTCTGCCGGGGTAATAATATAGTGTAAAGCGCATAGAGCCTGCTGTTGAGCGGGGATTTGCGCTATACAAATGCTATCTATTATTATTATGTCAAAGAACTTTATTATTATTATTCTTGTTCTTTTCATTGTCATTATTATCCCTTTCAGTTTATCCCTTTCAGTTTATCCCTTTCAGTTTGTCCCTTTCAGTTTATCCCTTTCAGTTTAAGTTTGAGCCAATAGGAGCCAATCATCTGATCTTTTTTCGGTTGTCTCCTAGATTTGCAGCATAATAGGAATAATAATAGATAGCATTTGTATAGCGCATATCCCCGCTCAACAGCAGGCTCTATGCGCTTTACACTATATTATTACCCCAGCAGACCATAGAACACTTCGAAACATTCTCAGCTTCCCGGGAAGCATCGCATATTTGGGTGTGTACATTGAATATGAAGAAGGATAAAGTTGGTAAAGATGGCGCGTGGGTGGTTGACGGGTGCTCTAGTGTGGTTTGCTCCTTCTTTCCTATCAAACATCTATCGTCCATATCTCTCCTCCTTTTTTGTGTATTTTACTCTCTTGTAACACATCTATTCTCCAACACTTATATGACCTTATTGTGTTGCAAGTGCTGTAAAACTCTTACTAAAACTAAACTAAACCTGACATATATATATGCAAAACATTGCTCTTAGGTTCTTATGGTTATTGTGTTTAGACCAAGCTTGCAATTGTGAAATATTTTTGTGTGGTTTCCTCCTCCCCCACGCCACCCAACACCCCCCCCCCCCCCCACCACCACCACCCACAGGTTGAAGCAGATCCAGACGAGTCTGGACAGTAATCAGAGACTGATGAGCACCATGTTAGACCGACTCGATGGGAACGGAAACACCAAGGCGTGGGATGAAGGGGCAGACCACAGTGTGTCAGCTATGAGTGTTGGCGACAGCAGCCTCTCTGAGGAGATCAGATTTGGGTAGCTGGACTTTTCACAGAGTGTCAACTCCTGAAATTTTGTGTCCAGTCATGTGTGTTTTGGGGCTGTTCAAATATAATCTTACACCTTTTTGGGGACTTTTTGCCTCCCCCCCCCCCACCTTAAACTTTTCTTATATTTGCCTCCCCCCCCCCCATCTTTTATCGTTCGCTTATAACAATAATGATAGTACATGTAATATGATATATTACGCAAATCTGTGTAACAATCATTTTGCGAGATGGCGTATTCGTGTTTGCCACTAGAGGACCTACTGTGTCGACAGCATATGCCGTGCTTACCCCTCTATTGGACCTACTGTGTCGACAGCATATGCCGTGCTTACCCCTCTATTGGACCTACTGTGTCGACAGCATATGCCGTGCTTACCCCTCTATTCAGTGAAGAGTTAACTCTCTTTTTATGTGTTATTTTTAAAAAAATTATGTTATTGTAAATTTTTTTTCTTGTTATTTTTTCACCCCACAAAAGTGTAATATTAAATTGGTTCAAGACCCCCTCCCCTTTCTTACACTTTTTTTTACAGAAGCCAAAGAACCCACCCCCCACCCCCCTTTCAGGTGTAAGATTATATTTGAACGTCCCCTTTTATCTGTTCCCCTGCTAAAGAGCTGACCCCTGTGACATGAGCAACTAGAATCATATCCAGTGTTTCAAAATATTAGATTAGACCTTTGTGATAATATATTATCAGCGATAAAGATAACCAATTTGACCTCTGTGATATATTATCAGCGATAAAGATAACCAATTTGACCTCTGTGATATATATATTATCAGTGATAATTGTAACCAATGTTTCAAAGCGTAGCTGTTGTTTCAAAGTTTTAGATTTGACAGCTGTGATGTTATCGGCAACAAAGGTTACCAATATTTCAAAGTTTTCAAACTGAACAATGTGGTAGTATCAACTGTAAAGGTAACCAGATGTTTCAGAATTATAGATTTGTTTCAGAGCATAGTGCTAAATGTTGTTGTCGTCAGTCCTGGAATGTTTCCTTCTAGCCCTGTTGTCCTGTCAAAAGGCTTAGAACTCAACTTCTGAAACAGCTAACTTTGCGTTGGGCAGAAAATTAAAATTTATTCAAAAACAAAAAATGTCTGGTGTGAAAATGTTCCAAATTAAATGATAAGTCACCGCTTCTTTTTGTGAGTTTTTTTAATACCTTTTATCCTTTTATTTTCCTCAGTTTCAGTAAATGAGTTTTGCGTATTTCAGGGAACCATCTTCTCATCTTTCTTAAAATAAAAGTTTTGCCCAGTGAATGAATCTGCTTTACTGGCATTCCTAGTGAATGTGGCTAGTTTCCATGACATGCGTTCGACTATAAAGGAGTAGGGTTAGAGTAAAGAGATAGCCTTGACGCTCAATTTTGGGGGGATTTTTTCTTTTTGTTTACCTAAAAATTTTTAAGTATAGGCTGGCTTTGATCATAGTGAGGTGTTAAAGGACGTTTCTGACGTTTATATCTTCATTACGCTAGCAAAATGGCATAACTTAGAGTTGTGCCAGAATACTACTAGCCTTTTATTTTGCTTGGTGGCAGTATATCTATCTTTTGGTACAACCAAAATAAAAAATGCCCTGGAACTCACAAAAGAAACATGCTTGGCAAGTTTTACCATGATCAGACAATAGATGGTCTAGTTAAATACTTTTTAAAATATTTAATCTCAAAGTAGCAAAAATTATTGAGATGTGCCATTTTGCTGGCCCAGTGACGATATGTGTCATGGCACGGTGGAATCAGGCGTTTGTCAATTTGGGGGCATGTGGAGTTATTGGTATCGTCTTAATTAAAGCTTGTTCATTTTCCTTGCTTTTGATGAAAAAATATTCATTTATCTTGAAAAGGAGCCGAGATATTTGCGACTGAAGGTGATGGGTCGCCTGGTTTCAGAGGTAAAATTAGCGAGAAAATGGCCGCCAAAGTTTGGTGACTTCAATAGCTTAAGAGTCCTTGGAAACTGCAAATTTACATTATTTGTGCCTTTAATCAACGTTTTCCCTTAAAATTCACGCACAAAGGTGTTTAAAAATAGATACAAAGTGTTGAGTATCTCTCTGGCCTGGCTGACAGGCAGGGTGCATGCAGTAGTATAATGCAGCCTGCTCTCTAATTAGTCTTAAAAGTTGTATCAATGGGGTGGGGTGGGAGAGGGGGGATATTTACAATTACAGTATTAGTCAATTGCCCAAGATATTGCTGTATGGTCCCCTGTCTAGGCTTTGATTTTCTTTTATTTCAATTAATTATATTTTTAAAAATTGTATTTTATTTTATTTGTATTTATTTATTTTTAAAATTATTTTCTTTAATTAATTTGTTTTAAAGCTGAGGAACACAAGACTTGTGGCAAGTGTTTTTATGATTGTCTTTATTCCCTTACAATGAGGATGTCTGCTTTGACAGCAGTAGAAATGCAATATCTATGGATAAATAAATAGGCTTTCTATGACGGGTTCTGATATAATCTTTTTTCCACCCTGTGTCTTTGTCGTGGTTACAAGAAACTTCCACAGTGTATATTTACATTGGCAACGTCTTTGCTGTTTTTCTCTCTCTCTCTCTCTCTCTCTCTCTTTGACATACTCTGTTCTCCCATTTTAAAAAATCCCCC